GCTATGGACATTTGTGTGTGCTTCACAAAGTTCTCATGCTCTCTTTTTCAGCATCATCAGGTCATTTATTTTCTTCTCTAAACTGGTTATTTTAGTTAGCAGCTCCTCTAACCTTTTATCAAGGTTCTTAGCTTCCTTGCATTGGGTTAGAAGATGCTCCTTTAGCACAGAGAAATTTGATATTACCTACTTTCTAAAGCCTACTTCTGCCAGTTTGTCAAATTCATTCTCCATCCAGTTTTGCTTCCTTGCTGGTGAGGGGTTGTGATCTTTTGGAGGAGAAGGAGTGTTCTGGTTTTTGGAATTTTCAGCCTTTTTGCACTGGTTTTTCCTCATCTTTGTAGATTTATCTCCCTGTGCTCTTTGATGCTGGTGACCTTCTGATGAGGATTTTGTGTGGATGTCCTTTTTGTTGATGTTGATGCTATTGCTTTCTGTTTGTTAGTTTTCTTTCTAACAGTCAGGCCCCCTTCTGCAGGTTTACTGGATTTTGCTAGATGTCTGCTGCAGACCCTGTTTAGCTGGGATCACCAGCGGAGGCTGCAGAACAGCAAAGATTGCTGCCTGTTTCTTCCTCTGGGAGCTTTGTCCAAGAGGGGCACCCGCCAATTGCCAGCTGGAGCTCTCCTATGTGAGGTGTCTGTTGACCCCTACTGGGAAGCGTCTCTCTGTCAGGAGGCACAGGGGTCAGCAACCCACTTGAGGAGGCAGTGTGTCCCTTAGCAGAGCTCAAACATTGTGCGGGGGAGATCTGCTGCTCTCTTCTTCAGAGCCAGCAGGCAGGAATGTTTAAGTCTATGGAAGCTGTGCCCACAGCTGCACCTTCTCCCAGATGCTCTGTCCCAGGGAGATGGGAGTTTTATCTATAAGCCCCTGACTGGGACTGCTGCCTTTCTTTCAGAGATGCCCTGCCTAGAGAGGAGGAATCCGGACAGGCAGTCTGGCTACAGTGGCTTTGTGGAGCTGCCTTGAGCTCTGCCCAGTTCAAACTTAAAGGCAGCTTTGTTTACACTATGAGGGGAAAACAGCCTACTCAATCCTCAGTAATGGCAGAGGCCCCACCTCCAACAAGCTCCAGTGTCCCAGGTTGTCTTTGGACTGCTGTGTTGCCAGTGAGAATTTCAAGCTAGTGGATCTTAGCTTGCTGGACTCCATGGGAGTGGGATCTGCTGAGCAAGATCACTTGGCTCCCTGGCTTCAGCCTCCTTTCCAGGGGAGTGAATGGTTTTTGTCTCACTGGTGTTCCAGGCACCACTAGGGTACAAAAAAAAATTCCACAGCTAGCTTGGGGTATACCCAAACATCCCCCCAGTTTTGTGCTTGAAACTCAGGACACTTTTGGTGTAGGGACCCAAGGGAATCTTCTGACCTGTGGGCTGCAAAGACCATGGGAAAAGTGTAGTGTCTGGGCTGGAGTGTACAGTCCCTCATGGCATGGTCTGTCACTCCCTTGGCTAGGGGAAGGAGTTCCCTGACCCCTTGAACTTCCTGGGTGAGGTGACGCCCCCCTCCTGCTTCTGCTCGTCCTCTGTGGGCTGCACCCACTGTCTAACCAGTACCAGTTAGATGAACCAGGCAGCCCAGCTGGAAATGCAGAAATCATCCACCTTCTGCATTGGTCTCTCTGGGAGCTGCAGACCAGAGTTGTTCATCAGCCATCTTGCCCGAAATCAAGAATTTTTTAACTTTCTGATTTACTTCAAAATCTCTATCTTATTCATAAATCTTTGTATTTTACTATGTTGTAGTCAGACTTCTTTATGGTGTATACTTTAATTATTAACATGGGAAAGGAGGGAGGAAAGAGAAGGGGAAACGTAACATTTTTTTCTCAATTTTGTTCTTTTTTAATTCACACTTTAGAAGTCTAAATATATTTTAGACAAGGAGAAAGTATTTTCATTCTGGCAGCCATTAGTAGTGCATTGGCACTTCAACCTCAGCTGCTCAGAAGCCTGCCAGTAGATTGTTTAAAGCTTTTATCCCTTAAGGAGCAGCTGCACTTTACAGCAGCACTTGGTTTCAGATTTCATATTTCATCTGAAATACATTTATATGATATAACTTGCTAATTTTCAGCTGGCTGGAAATCCTTAACTTTTGTTATGCAGTACATTATAAGTAAGATATATTGGCCAAACCAAGACAATTTCACAATGACAGAGGGTGCCATTACTAATTACACAGGACAACAAGTGTGAACAACTGGGCTATAATTTCTGTTGGTTTTAAGTAAACTCCACTTCAGATTATTCTTAACATCTGAAGATTTAACCTTCTTAACATCGCCATTTCTGAAAAACCTTATCATTTACCAAAGCCACCCACAGACTCAGTGGCTTAAAACAATTACTGTCTTATTAATGTTTATGATTCTGTGGGCTGGCAGTTTGTGCTGGAATGGCTAGGAAGGCTAGAATGCCTGCCACAGCTGGGCCTTTCTCCACATCAGTTCTCATTTTTCAGAAATTATTTACATTCCATATGCAAAATATGTTCATCACCATCCTAGGATTTCAAAAGTTTCATCTCACTGATAGCGGCAAGTCCAGAGTTCAAGATATTGTCATCTAAATCAGGCCTAGATGCAAATGAGGTTTTCTGGGTTTTGCCACATGGTGGGACTCCTTTCTGTATTCCTACATATCAAATATACAATGGCAAGGCAAGGACAGAATAATGATCATGAATATTCTCATTCAAAACTGGAGGAGTAGGAATCATATGGCTCTAAATGGGCCATAGCAATTCTGAAATCTCACAGTACACATGTTGCCAGGTCACCTACATTGGGATAAGGGGTGAATAGGGCCCATTCTGTTTCCTCAGAGTAGTTCTGTAATTCATTGTTTTTTTTAGGCTTTTGGTTTTGCCCTCTTGGTTCTTGGCTCTGTCCTCTGAGATATCATTCATTTTTCATAAGAAATGATCTGTATTAGCAGCTGAATAACTTTTCAGTCTGTTTCCTGACTATAGAAAATTGGGGACCCAGATAATTATTTTAATTTTGAAGTGTCTTTGTCTTAATAATCCAAGATAGTACCATACCCTTGGAAACTCTTTAGGCTTTCTCTGTATGAGGTTATAGTCTACTCAATTTGACAGAGGCTCCATTCACAATTCTTTTTAAAGTGGGCTTCCTTCCTTTGTTGGCTGGTATGTCAGAGTGCTGCAGGGCCAGTTCCTTTTGTCTAGTCAAGGTGATCTATTAGGCTTCATTTTAAATCATTCAGAGGTTTCTAAAAAATTTATTATAACCACACAATTTGATCTTTGAAGAGCTTATTTTACTCTGCAAATCTTTTACCAGCAAGTCCTATATCATCTATATTCCTTCAATTTTGATCACATACTGAACATTTTCTTCTCTAGCTCTTCTCTTTTTTATACCTTATTATATAGACACAAGAAGCCAATTCAGCTTTCTGCCTGGAAATCTCATTAGCCAGTTTCACAAGTTCATTATTTTGATTTTCTGTATTCTGCATTACTGAAGGTGTCACTTTGGTCTTTTTTTTTTTTTTTTTTCCTGTTTTTTCCCCCTTTTTAGTCTTTTTGATTTTTTTTCAGCAATATTTTGTAGTTTACAGTATGCAAGTATTACACATATTTTGTCAAATATGTCCTTGTGAATTTTGCATTTTGGGATGGTATTATTTTTAACTGCCCATTGCAAGTATATCGAGGTACAATTGATTTGTGTGTATTTACTTTATAACCTGTGATTGTGTTAAATTCATGTATTTTTTTCTATTGGGTTTTGTTGTTGTTGTTGTTGTTGTAGATTTCTTAGTATTTTCCATGTACACAATCATGTGTGTACAATAAAAAAAGTTTTGCTTCTTTTTTTTCCAATCTGTATTCCTTTATTTTTCTTGCCTTATTCTGATAGATAGGGTCTCCAGTATAGTGTTGAGTAGAAATGATAAGGGTAAATTTTCTTGTCTTTATAAATGCTATAAATATGCTATTAGCTTTGGGTTTTTCATAGATATCCTTTATTGCATTGAGGAAGTTTCATTCTGCTTCTAGTTTACTGAGAGCTTTTGTGTTGAATGGGTACATTATACTGTATTTAAATTATATCTCAATTTAAAAACTGATTTAGTAAAATTTATATTACATACTATATATATCAAAACTTATACAGAGCAATATTCTCAGATATATCAGTTTAAGAGACAACTTAAACTGTATAAAGTTAAAAAGTTTAAGAAAATACTAGTAAAGGCTAAAAAGTTTATTTTAAAGTCTGTTAACTATTATAGTAAAGGTAAAATAAAACTGTTGTTGGAAAATTTTGTTTTTGGAAGTGGAAAATTAAGAAAGCAATTGCTAAGCTGGGCGCGCTGGTTCACACCTGTAATCCCAGCACCACTTTGGGAGGCCCAGGTGGGCAGATCGCAAGGTCAGGAGATTGAGACCATCCTGGCCAATATGGTGAAACCCCGTCTCTACTAAGAAAAAAAAAAAAAAATTAGCTGGGTGTGGTGGCTCACACCTGTAGTCCCAGCTGCTCAGGAGGCTGAGGCAGAATTGCTTGAACCCAGGAGGCAGAGATTGCAGGGAGCTGAAATGGTGTCACTGCATTACAACCTGGGCAACAGTGCAAGACTCCATCTCAAAGAAAGGAATTGCAGTCTATCCATTCTTTAAGCTAATATTTTAATACTCAATATTATTTCTCTGTGTGATAACCTTTGTAAAATCTGAATTGTACTTTTCAAATAAACACAAACGAGATACTATAATTTTTTTCTTTTCCTCAGAATAATCCAGAATGTTTTTAACATTTAGGAATTACTTTTTTATTTGGTGGATAAATACTATAAATATAGCCTATGTAACATTAAGTAATGATGCTAGGTTAATTCTGAATCAGTATAGTCAGATTTTATTTCTATTTTTAATCCCTTTTTATACAGATGAAAAAACTGAGGCTCAAAAAATTGCATACCTATAGTTATTTCTATTTTTATGGTAACATTTTTTTTTAATAGGAGTTACTTAAAGATCCACTCTACATTGGACTACGGCAGAGAAGAGTAAGAGGTTCTGAATATGATGATTTTTTGGATGAATTCATGGAGGCAGTTTCTTCCAAGTATGTATCTTTATTTTATCTATATTTTAGTCAATAACAATAACATAATAGACTATTTAAAAAATCCAAGATTTGTGTAACATGGTTTAATAATTAGAAGTAATTTGAATGAAAAAAAGTGTATATCCTATCTCCTCATAATTATTAATGGGCAGATAATAATATCATGTGTCTATTCAGAAAAGATTATCTCTGTTGCTGTCCCTGAATATGCTTTTTTTTTTTTTTTACAATAATCTTTAGAACCTGTGGCTGTTGAAATGTGTGACTATGGTAAAGGAGGCAGTGACCAGTGACTAAATTATGTGGCATACCTTTTTATGTTTATTGACAATCTGTACTTTCTGGTTGATGATAAAATCTGATCTTCAGTCATCTTTAACTCTTTTATGGTCAACTACCAGCCACAAAGGAAAAGCAAAGGAAGAGGTAGGGATTGAGCATGAGTTCATCTAGTCCACATGGTTCCAGATGGAGCAAGAACAGGGTATTCCATCACGATCCATGCATCTCTGATTAAATCTATAGTATTTGATTAAAATGCAGTAGTGTATACGCTGAGTGTCTCTTATCCAAAACACCTGAGACCATTAGTGTTTATGCATATTTTGAAGTATTTTCATATGTATAATGGGACGGTACCCATATCTATACATGAAATTTATTTTTCGTATAAACCATATACACATAGCCTGAAGGTAATTTTTTATTTTTTTTTTAGATGGAGTCTCACTCTGTCACCCAGGCTGGAGTGCAGTGGTGCAAGCTCTGCTCACTGCAAACTCCACCTCCTGGGCTCAAGCAATTCTCCTGCCTCAGCCTCCTGAGTAGCTGGGATTATAGGTGCATGCCACCACCCCCCACTAATTTTTGTATTTTTAGTAGAGACGAGGTTTCACCATGTTGGTCAGGCTGGTCTTGAACTCCTGAACTTGTGATCCACCTGCCTCGGCCTCCCAAAGTGCTGGGATTACAGGCGTGATCCACCATATCTGGCTGCCTGAGGGTAATTTCATGCAAAAGTTTAAATAATTTTGTGTGTAAAACAAAGTTTGTGTACATCGAACCATCAGAGGCAAAGATGTCACTCTCTCAGCTACACGTGTGGACAATCTTTGGTTGTTTGGCATCCCCATTATCCCTAACTCTGAATTTTACATGCTACCAATAAGCAAACTTTTTTTTATACTTATCACATATAAATCCTTAACAGTAAAAAACATGATATACCATGAATGCAATAAAAAAAATAATGTGTTCAGAGTATGTGGCATCGTATCAGTGCTCAAAAAGTTTCAGATGTTGGAGCATTTTTGGATTTTGGATTTTTGGATTAGGGATGCTCAACCTGTATTTTCATCTTTTCCAGTTATCATTTGATTGTGGGTCAGATGCTATTGTAAATTTTTCCTTTTTTTTTTTTTTCCAAAAAAGAGACTCCCACCATAATTTAGTAATATATTCTGAGAGAATTTTGTCACACTGACAGTCATCCCTTGGTTACTGTATAGCCACAAAAACCACATACTATTTAAAAACACATATGTTGCCTTGGTTTTTCTTAGAAATAAAGTCATCACTAGAATTAACTGTAACTAGAGATGCACTTCTGGTTTCTTTTTATTATAATGTTTATTTTTAAGAAGTTGTATCCAACAGCAGAAAGTGCTTTCATCAGTTTGCACAACATTTAGAATGTATTGAACCTCTCATTACTCAAGGTTTTAGTGCTGAGTACATTTACCAATTAGTATAGACTACATTTGAGAACCACATGCTTGATTTGTTTATTATAATTATTTGACCTATTTCATTAAACTATACTTATTTATAGAAATAGTTGAGGAACTTTTCAGTTTAAGTTTGAGATCACATGATATAATTTCTGATAGTTTTTTATAAAGTGCCTTACCTTGTGAAATGCTCATGTAAGATTTTCAAATTACCTAACTTCCTCAGTAACGACATTAATCAAGACATATAGATAATACTTTAAGGCTATATAAAAGGAAAGGAAATGCAGTCTGGAATAAAATCTATCTAAATAAAGCAACTTTAACAAACAGAGACACTGTTAACAAGTTAGGTGCACTTAAGTACTGATGAAGTAAAGGGAGAAGAAATTTTTATTATTGGGAACCAATGAAAAGCTTTTGGGAAAAAATGAGATATGAGTGAATTTTAAATACTTTGTGTTAATCCAGAATCAGAAAAACTGGTTATTTTTAATGTGAAATTGAGGGGTTATCTAACTTTTTTGTAAAGAAATGGGGATTGACAGTGTCAACAATAATTTTAAATGTAGAGAGCAACTATAAATCAGGGGTTGTACTTCCAGAGAAAAATGCCAAAGACTAAAAAAATAGCTCCTGTCATACATTGTTTCAGGAAAATTATCTAGGTGTGAAACCTAAATTAAGAAGTAGTCCTGGAGATAGACTCAAGATTATTTTAAAAGGAAGCATAACTTAAATTCAAAGTGAGAAATTATTGTTACAGGTTACCTAGACATCAGACTCTGAGATAGAGTTTATTAAGAAGTACACTTGGGCCAGGCACGATGGCTTGCACCTTCACTTCAGGAGGCCAGGGCAAGTGGATCACTTGAGGCCAGGAGTTGAAGACCAGTCTGGCCAACATGGCAAAACCCTGTCTCTACTAAAAACTACAAAAAAATTATCCAGGCTTGGTGGCACATGCCTGTAATCCAAGCTACTTGGGAGACTAAGACATGAGAATTACCTAATCTGGGAGGTTAAGTTTGCAGTGAGCCAAGATCACACTACTGCACTCCAGCCTGGGCAACAGAGCAAGACTCTTCCACATGCATGCATCCGCTCTAACAGGGAGAGGGGAACGGTGTTTTGATGCCTCGAGTCTCCAGGTATCAGTGTCAACTGTGTGCTCATTAGTCCTCAAACATTTGGATAGTCCTTCTCCAGTGCACAGTTGCTTAAGTAAAGGACTTTAGTCCCTGTGGATAAAGAAGACTGGAGGAATTACTACCCTGTATTCTTGTCATGGTGTTATAAGGTTCTTCTAGGAACTAGACCTCTTTTTCAGTTTGTGGGTTGTGAGTCTAAAAATTAGTGCAGGTTTGGAAGCTGAGCAAGATTGTGACTTCATTGGAGCAGCTATCCTCAGCTTTATGGTCATTCATCTTTTGATGGTAAATATTGAGTAGTAGTTTTGTTAGCTCTCTGTTTTGCCTCTAGGGATGCAACATTCCATTAATTATCACAATAGCATTTTGTGGGTTAGCCTCACACACACCGTGCTTTGCCTCTCTTATGATAATTGTGTCCACCTCGCTTCTGACGGGTAAGCATTCTCACCTGGTCCTATCCTCCTCATTGCTATTAGTCAGTCTACTTGTATGTCATCCTTTTCTTCTGTCACTCCTGACTTTCAGAGGAGAGCCACCACTGAAATTTTTAGTAATGTTGATGTCTTCTCATTGGGCTATTCCTTATGGTTTTGGGAAATGATGTGTTTTCTGGGCCTTCATGTGGAATATATTCATCTGATGACTTTTCTGACTTTTATATACTATCCACATACCAGAATGCCCAGTTCCCTGAGCCTTGCAATCCCCTCTTCTGCTATGTGCAACAGGATTCCTGGCATTTCAGTCATGTTAGTATCAGCCATTAATTTGTTTATGTTTCTGGAACCATCCTAACAGTAGGTTTGCACCATCTTCCAGGATTCTTGCCACTTGTTAAATCCTACATCTCAGGAGAGTGTCTGCAAATCAGTAAACTCTCCCTTATCTTAGGTTCCAGCCCTTTTAATCAAACACCCTCAGAATTTAATTCTACGTGTATTCTCCTGACTAATATAAGCTATCTAGGTCTTGTGGCTCCTTTGAGGTAAAGTCTCTTTCTTTTATCAACTCAGTATGTCCCAGGTAGGTTATATTGTGATAAAACCTTACTTATTGGCCCAGGGATCTGGAGGGGAGGCAGAGGTAGATGGTAGTTAGGGGGCACATGTTATCTTATAGGGGTGAAATCTCTATCCTTATCACCCCAGTAAAGAGGAGGAAGGCCACTTTTGTGAGATTAGAAAGCTCTGGGGGAATCTGGAGATTCAAGATTTTAAAAGACATCAAACCAGACATCCCATTCCATGTGGCGGATTCCCATTCTTTTCCAACTAGGATTCTGACTTAGCAGCTCTGCTTTCCCTGAGCTTGGGAGCTTGAATATTCTGATGATTAAGCCCTGTTTCTGGACATAAGCTTTCTCTACCCAGGAGCTACAGAAGCTGAGAATATCTTTGTATCTACAAAGTAGGCCTTCTGGCTTTCATGTTGGCAGTTATTTGCCCTGAGCTTTTTGTGATCTTTTTCCATTGTTCTTATAGTTACTATTTCTCCCATATTTCTAAAACATCTGAAATAACACTGTAGCTAGCATGTTCCCTTCCCAACATCTCAACCCACCTCTGGTGAGTTTTAATAGTTGGACTACTACCTTAGACTGGGTGTGTGCTCCATCTACTACCAGTAGAGGGGTGTTCTTTGCCACCATGGCAGCAAGTGGACCAGTGCTAAAGCCTCATCTTATCACCTGCTTTCTCAGACCATTCCAAGATTAGGTTACCTGGGAGGCATATTTGGAAATGAAATTTAGTGTTTAAGAGGTTTGTAAGAAGTGCCCTTGAGATAAACCTCTGTGGAAGAAATAACAAAGGAAGCAGGAGTGAGCAGAAGAAGTTGAGCTGCCTGCAGGCACAATGTCAGTTTTCCCCGATCCAATGGGGAACTCTGACAGATACATCTGCTCATTGGTAACATAAAAAAAGACTCAAAAAAAAAAAAAAAAAAGAAGACTCAGTGTGATTTCCTCAGTTATACTCATAGATTAACCTAAAAACAAAACAAAAAGCATTATCAATAGCAATATCTTGTAGGTTGAAATAAGGTCTTTTGTTTATATTTTATTCTTGCCATCCTTAATTTAAAGGTAAAGCAGGTATGAACATATGAAAGCAGT